AGCTTGGCGAGCGCCACTAGATTAATATTTATTTAGCACAGGCAAATCAAGGATTATGCAGTCATCATTTTAGCATTAATCCACGTCTCTTGTGAGAGGAAGAGACAAAAGGGGGCAGATTACTGAACACGGAGTGATGCAAAACCACAATTAGTTCACTTCATCTCGCGGACACTTAAGGCATTCATACCTTTACGTAGTCTCATTCAGTAAAGGCTCCATTGGTCAAAACCCCCTCTTTTCCCCTTTATCTGGAAATCAGGAGTGTCTTGTGATGATGCATCGACAATGAATACTTCTTTCTTTGGTTTTCGCACCACGTGGGCCAGTTTGCTTATAGTGTGCTGTGTTCTTGTACGTGTGTTACCACTTTGATTACAGGAGTCTGTAAATAAAATTACATTCTTTACTAATTGAGTTAAAGTGCTGTGCTGGAGATGTGGCCCAAAAGATGAAAGCCCCCTGTGTTATGTTTTGTTTTATCGAGGCTGTTTATGGAGGCAATCTAGTTAGCTCTTAGCACTCTTAGTTGGTAACAAAGGGAGGAAGATAATTGTTTGCGTACTTTTAGGGTTGTGCAACACGTGAAAACTGTCTTGGAATTAAAAACGTCTCTTGGAACGGTCCTGGAGCAGTCGTGGTAGTTGTTGTATCATAGGGGTAGAACGTGGGAAGCCCCTACAGCCACATGTTCAATCCAAAGAAAGAGAGATAAATAAAGCAAAAGAGCAGATGATGGAGAATGCCATTTTGCGCTCCCCTTTGCCCTTCTTCCTCGGACCACTGCATGTTAATGTCTTCGGCCATCCCTCCCCGTGGACACTGGCGCATTGTTTGTCGAGCTGGCTTCTATTCTTTCAAACTTAATTACCTTCTTGCCTTTTGTGGCGTTTGGGGCCGGGGAAGTTTTGCTCCGTGGCAGTGGAGGTCGTCACACATTCTTTTGGCGGTGCATTCCCTTAATCTGAGGTGGAGGAAGGGGTGGGGGTGAGCGCAGAAGGGGTAATTTTTCTTAAAAGGAAGATTTTTAGAAAGTTTGTACCTCAATGCTAGACGCACACACTCATTTATGCACAAGCTATAGAAGTCGGGACATAGGCTGCCCTTTGTTTGTGCGGTTCATTTCCAATCAACCCTAATTAACTTGAGAGTGTTTCCAGATTGCCAGCGAAAGAAAAATCCCCATGTTTTTCATCGCAACCTCATGGTCTTTGCTGTTTCGAGTTGGAGTAAGGGGAGGGGAGAAAAGTGCAAGGCATTAGCTATGTAGATTGGCTTTGCCTTTGATGCTGGAAAAATCTTTAGCCAGGGCAGTAAGTGGTGACTGTGACCCAGCGGTGTTGGACTGTTTATTTTCATGTTTCAGATCAAGTTTAGTTTGAAATATTGCTCTTCAAAGCGGCCGACTTCTGCATTTATTTAGACCCAACGCGGTAAGCTGTGAGTCCATTAGTAAATGCTAAAATCCAGGCAACGTGGGTATAATCCATTACGTGGAGTCTCAATAAAGCTAATGCCAACATTGACAACTAAAACTTTTTTTTCGGAATAAATATGGCTTAGTTTGTTGTCATCTTTTTTGCAATACTACCGATGCTTGTTATAGGCGACAGAATCCAGATTTTTAAGTTTTGCTTCGAAATGAAACTCTATCTTGAAGCAGTGTGGTGTAAGGTTTCTTGAGGAACTAGTGAAGCCAATTTACTTGTCATCAGCCTTCGCTTTAAGACTTGCATAGTTCCTCAACCAAAAGAAAAATGTCTACTGCATTCTTTTTATTTCTCCCCATTATTTCCTTTTGTTCCATTCTTGCATCCAGTATTACTCTCCAACATACTCTGTCCCCATGTAGACGTAATTCTGATTTTGATTTGCTAAAAGGCATTTTTGCGGAGTCGGTAATTTGTCGAACAAGATTCTTGCACTAAATGGAGTGCGGCTTGCTTAAGGTGTCTGGGCCGCGCCTCGCTGTAATGATAAGGTGTCTTTGGGTAATGAAGGCCTTTACTCAGCGAAGAGACGTGCATGCAGGAAAGGACAGGCGGATAGAGCAAGAAGGGGGGGTCTACTCCATATAGCCTCTAATATTACACCTTCAGGCAACAAACAAGGGCAGCTAAAGCATTTGGAGGTAAAGAAAGACAAGAAAATGCACATTTTTGCAGCGCTCCTATCTTTAAGCAGCACATTAGCCCCACTTCTAATGGCGTGCATGTGCTTGCGTTTTGCTCGCTGATAGCTCTTGTATTGTGAGTTGTAGATAATTCCCTTCCACTTTCACCTACTCTGGTTTTTAGCTCTGCATTTCTGCATGGTAACAAATAAACAGGTCTAATTAGAGCAGAGCGGACCTATTCACGGCCCTGACAGTGGGAGATGGATGCAGTAGTTTGAGAGCGCCCTTCGTCTTTGTCTTTGACTAACGCTTGGTGACATTTTGATAAAAGATTTGGTGTTGGACTGAGGGCCCACATGCAGGGAGAGGGATGACCTTCCAGAGGACCTTAGGAAACGGACACATAGCTGTGGTTCCATGCTGCCTTTTGACTTTGTTGTTTGACTTTATAAGCTTTTTGAGGTCAGCTTCCAAATTTTACCATGTTTGGATTTTAACCGTTTAACAACTCCAGATATGTTTCTCAAAAAGTTGGATAGCAACAAGTTTAAAATTGGAAAACACAGATCACTCTAATACCTATGTTCACACACAGTATAAATATTCAGTATTAACTGCTCTGTCAGCCCCTGCATTAAAATGTCAGACAGTAAGTAATAAGGAATTTGAACCTAACAGAGTCTCATGTAAACAAAGACGCCACTGTGGCAACACCACAATTACAGGTTTGGCATTTAATAAGAGGCAGCACAGGCTAATGCAGTGTCTGACACAGAGACAAAGGAGAAGGAGAGCTGACTTCAGCCTGAGTGCTGGACATGCTGTAGACTGCATCAATGTAGCACCATGACAACATCAACTAAAACATGGAAGAGTTCACCCTAGAATGGTCACTTTTGTCTACCGCAAGGAGCATTATTTTATAGTCAGTCAGAGAGCTACTGAGGAACAGGTGGAGGGACGTGGGAGAGTGGGGAGGGGGTCAAAAACAATAGGCAAAAGAGTCCCCTGGCCTTTTTCTCTAAACTAGCAGTGTCCAACGCATGCATTCCAGGGCTTTTGTATGCCTTTCACTGGATCTGATCTGCCAGCTGAATTACCTTAGCCGATGTGTACATAAATCTTAAAAGCTGAACTTTTTGTGGTTATGCATTCATTTGTCTGCCTCTGCCGTGCACTTTCCTCTCCCCTTCTGAGTTGTCTTCATGGTAGAAAAAAAGAGAAGCAGTGGGGGAGATGGACAGAAAGGTTTCATAGCAGTTGTAATCTGATCTTGTTTAAGATGCAGGAGAGGGGACTACTGCTGTGAAAGGTGCAAAGCTCAGAGAATGTAACCTACCTATAGAGACTACTCAGTTTGAAGTAGGATTTCTAAAACAAGGCATCACATATTTTCTTTACAAATATTGCCACAGGCTTATGTAGCACTGTTTATGGTTATACAGATAGAATTAATGGTCTGCACTGGGAAGGCTTAAATCTTTCCAGATATAACAACATAATGAACTGGATGACATTAAGTTATCGTTGGAACAGAGCCCACATGTAAACGGCTGCTAACCTGCTAGCATCTGGGCTAACGTATTGGTGCCAAGTGTTTAACACACTGCTTCTACATGAGGAATAATTCCACTCTTAAAGTGTTAGTAGATGCATAATTCATAAAGCACTGTGTTTTATGTCCAAGCTACAATTCAAAGAGGTTGCTCCCCAATGAAATAAGCAGCGAAATGACAACACTGACAAGTAGTAAATCCTGCCGTATGTGTCACATTAGCCGCCAAACCCACAGCTTCTGAACGGCTTTGCTCTCAATCACCATTTACTCCACTATGGGCACACTTATAAGAATAAACAAATAAAAATGCTTTATATGTTTGATTAGAGGAACAGCCGGTCCAAGGGCTGTTTTTGCTGCTCGGCTATAAAAGACATCACTTAAATTTACAAACCCGGCTACATTTAGGCCCACCATGCCTTTAATGTGGTATAAAAGTGGTGATGTAGACGGCATGAATATTTGAGATGTGCTTTGCAGCGGACATTCTTATGTATATCCAACATTCACCTTGTATTTCGTCTCATTATGCTTATCTGATAAGCACTGGTAAAATTCATTATCCTGTGAATTATTTTTAATCTAGGCAACAGAAAGACACAGGGAGCAAAAACATAATTTCGCCCTCTTTAATCTATCGCTATTCTCCATGGAATCATCGAGGGGATATGTCAGATTAGAACTGATTATAGCGCGTGCACACTCACTCTAGTGCGCACCAGCAAACATCCTTGGCCACATGTTTGATTTCATTCCTCACGGTTTTACTGTCCCTCCTACTGGCTTTGTTTAGCCCAGGATTGTTGCGGATTAATCCTCTAATTGCTTTGTAGCTTTGTTGTGAGGCGGAGGGAGTGTAGAAAAACGAGAGGGAGTATTAAGCAGCAGGTGGATTGGGTTAAAGGTTAACATGGCTCTTTAAAGCTCGCTTTTAATGCCAGCTCATTTACACGCAAGGATCTGAAAGGCGCTGGTACTGTATCAAGTGAAAAGACACTGGCATGCACGACCACTCTGCAAAAGACTGTCTAAGTAGGCTGCCTCTTAAGCTCGTTTTAATATGAGTGTTGTTAGGGATGTTATATAGGACCTTTTGATTTGAAACATACTCTTAAAATTAAGTACGAAAGTTTGTCATTCGCACATAACAGTTAATTTTAGTCACACTTCCAGACTGGATCCTTTTTTTCATACACCTTGTTCATGGATGACTATTTATTAACTTTTACTTTTTTGTCTGTCCTCTCTTTGTCTAGGTCCCTACTAGGGTGGATGAGATGAGATCCTTATGTAGTGATCGTCATGGCAACTTGTGACTCTCCCCCTATGGTGTCGTCGCGGCAGCAGGAACATGGTGGGCCGAGGCTGGACACTGCTGCTGAGGACCACTCTGCCAGCGCCCCGGAGACCAGCGACAGCAGCCACACCAACTGCGGAGAGCCGGACAAAGGAGCAGGAGAGCCCGCTGTGAGCCCGCTGAGGTCCACTACAACCCTCACTGTCAGTGCAACAACCGACCCTGTGTCCGAGCAGAGTCGGAGAGAAAGCTTTACTACTGGTAACAAAGGGAGTGTTACCGGGACTTTACCAGGAGTCGGAGGAGGAGCAGCTGTGGGTTCAGACTGTTCTGCCCCTGCCATGTCTCCAGTGGCACCCACTAAAGAGATCCCCTGCAACGAATGTTCAAGCTCCTTCTCTAGTTTACAAAAATACATGGAGCACCACTGCCCCAACGCCCGCTTGCCTACCACTGGGGGTTCTGAGGAGGGTGAAGAGATGGAGGGGGTAGAGGAGAGTGAGGATGAGCGCACAGGGGCTGGAGCAGAGATGAACAGTGAGATGGAGGAGGAGAGTGATGTGGAGAACCTTTGTGGTGAGATCATCTACCAGCCCGATGGCTCTGCCTTCATTCTGGAGGACACCAAAGAGCAGTGTGGCAACCAGGGAGCGCACAAGAGCGCTCTCCCGTTCAGGGGTCTACTGTCCCCCCAAACCTTCCCCAACGCCCAGGCCAACAGCAGCCAGAGCGGCCTGGGCCAAGGGGGGGAGCGGTCGGAGCAGCCCGCTGCACCCATGTCCTTCTACCCCCAGATCATCAACACCTTCCACATCGCCTCATCCCTAGGGAATAAATCCCTGGCGGCTGACCACCCCTCCTTCCCAAATACCTCAGCTGGAGGGCTGGCGGGTTCTCCTCCCGTGTTGCACAGCTTTCGTGTCTATGACCTCCGCCACAAGAATGACAAAGACTATCTGACGGCGGATGGTGCAGCCAAAAACTCCTGTGTGTCCAAAGATGTCCCCAACAATGTGGACTTGTCCAAGTTCGAGGGCTGCATATCCGATGGGCGGCGAAAGCCTGTACTCATGTGTTTCCTGTGCAAGCTTTCCTTTGGCTATAGCCGCTCCTTCGTGACACATGCTGTCCACGATCACCGCATGACCCTGAATGAGCAGGAGCAGAAATTGCTGAGCAACAAACATGTTTCAGCAATCATCCAGGGCATCGGCAAGGACAAAGAACCTCTTATAAGCTTTCTGGAACCAAAAAAATCCCCTAACTCTGTGCTACCCCATTATCCCACACCTGCCAACTTCCTAGGGCCAGACATGGGGCTCCGCAGCTTGTGGAATGCTTTCCACAGTGGCGAGAGTGCAGACTCCCTTCAAGCAGGTTTTGCCTTTCTGAAGGGCAGCGCTAGCAGCTCCTCCAATGACCAAACCCCCCGAACCCAAAACATGCCAAAGGCTGAGACCAACCCAAACCTCGGGGGAGGGGCTGGTGCCCACAGGACCCCTGGAGGAAGTGCTGCTGCTGTCATTGGTGGCAACCTGGAAGGTCGGAACTCTGATAGTGACTGCAAAGGCCACATTAGGGACACATGCACTTTGCAACCCAATGGGCTGGACTTGAGCCAGTACCCACCCATCAAGCGGGAGCCTGGTGCAGTGGGAGGAGACAGTCCAGATCTGGATGAAGATTCTTATTCTAACGGAGGTGGAGCTGAGATGGAGGCAGATGAGGAGGAGGAGCAGGCCATGACAATGGCATTGACAGGCCAACAAGCTGACAGCACCAGTAGCAAAGATTTTCCTCTTTTAAACCAAAGTATTTCCCCCTTATCCAACAGTGTGCTTGCATTTAGCAGTGAGAGTAAAGGTCCTTCTTCTGCCTCCTCTTCCTCTCTGTCTGTGAGTGACAAGAGACGGGACAATAGTAATGACTCGAGTAATGAAACACTAACAGGACGGGATGGGTCGTCGCCACCTGCCCATCCCCTTGATATGATTATGTTACGCAGAGAAGATGAGAGTCCTGGCCCTATGCACCAACACACAGGGAACCCCAGTACGCCTGGTACTCCGGGTACCCCTGGTACTCCTGGGCCAGGGGAGGGCTCTCCGGGGAGTGGGGTAGAGTGTCCGAAGTGTGACACTGTCTTGGGTTCCTCTCGATCACTGGGAGGGCATATGACCATGATGCATTCACGCAACTCCTGCAAAACACTTAAGTGTCCCAAATGTAACTGGCATTACAAGTATCAGCAGACACTGGATGCCCACATGAAAGAAAAACACCCTGAGTCTGGGGGCTCCTGTGCCTACTGCCGGACAGGACAACCCCATCCGCGCTTGGCCCGAGGAGAGAGCTATACCTGTGGATACAAACCTTTCCGCTGCGAGGTCTGTTTTGTCTTTTCGCCCTCGACAATTGTATAACACTTAATATTAAATTAGATAGATAGTTCGTCCTTGTTTGAGTACTAATTTATCAATACTTAACATAAATTGTGACTCTAATTGATTTATTATTGTCTCTATTTAGTATGTTTGTAGCACATGCAATAAGTGACAGTTTTTTTCTCTTTAAGGTGTGCAACTACTCCACTACCACCAAAGGCAACCTTAGTATCCACATGCAGTCAGACAAGCATCTGAACAATGTCCAAACACTCCAGAATGGCGGAACTGAGGTCCAGTATAACCACAACCACACCACCCCAGTGCCCAGTGCCAGCCTCGGCGGGGGATGCGGTGCCCCCTCACCCTCCAAACCCAAACAGAAGCCCACATGGCGATGTGAGGTATGTCATCCACAAAGCCTGCCTTTTGTTCTGCTCAAATGAAACCTTACACATTGAGCCCAGTTATAAATAGGAGTCATTCCTGACAATAAAACATCACCTGTTTTCTGCAGGTTTGTGACTATGAGACTAACGTGGCTCGGAATCTGCGGATCCACATGACCAGTGAGAAACACATGCACAACATGATGCTTCTGCAGCAGAACATGAAGCAGATCCAGCACAGCCTTCACATGGGCCTGGCCCCGGCTGAGGCTGAGCTGTACCAGTACTACCTGGCCCAGAACATGGGGCTGGCTGGAGTCAAACTGGAGAACCCGGCAGGCAGCACCGTCCCAGAGCCTCCAATGATGATCAACCCATTTCAGCTCGACCCTGCCACTGCTGCTGCGTTAGGATCTGGCCTGGGTATGTTACATTTACCCCTGATTTTCCTTCGTCCTCAGTATTTTGATACGTCTGTAGCAGTGGCACTTTCACTCTATGGCCCCTCCTCCTGCTCCCCTGGTTCACCCTCTCTTGTGTCTTCTGCCTCTTATCAGTTCTTTCAGATTGTCCCTCTGTCATTGTCTCCCTTCTCTGACCCTTCTCACTGATTAAAAAATGATTATGAGACGCCACATGAGAATTATTCTTAATCTTTCATTTGTAATTTTCTTAAGTCAGCTTAATCCCTCCTCTTAAACATCCAGCAGCCCTCTTTGGCTGGTCCTGGAGAGCATGCACACAGGCATAAACACATGCATGCTGACACACGGCAGGAAGCAGATTCCCATAGGAGAGAGGTTTAACAATGACCCTGCAGTGATGTACACCTACTGCCTCTTGTACTGTGGAGGTCACAGCCTGCCAGCAGATGTACTCTGTGAATTACACCGGGAACACTGCATCCCACTGAGAGCCCAGCTGTACATGCATTTAGATTCTTAACGCTTGACTATTTTATATTTCAATGGTTGAATGTTTTAGAATTTTATCCCTGTAAAGTTTAACTGATGGAACACACACTGCTTGGCAAATCTCATCAGCTAATTGGGGAATTGTTATATCTGAGAAAAGACTTGATGAGCTTTCATTCCATGCTTTGGTAGACAATAACAGGATCAAATGAGACAGTTAATTACATTGATATTATGAAGGATCTTTTTTGTCTGAGGGTGGGCGTATAGATGAAAGAAAACCGGTGTAATGCATTGATCAGCCTCTGAGATCTGTGTGTGAGCGAGAAAAACTCTGAAATCGCTGTCCCGTCGTCACAGAGAGCAGTAATTAAAGCTACCTGATGAGCGAGTTAGCAGGTTGAAAAGGATGATTGTAATTGATCCTGATTCAATCCTATTAGGTTTTTTTAATAGATGAGACTTTGTAAGGAGCGCCAGTCCTCAGTGGGGCTTTATTTTATCAAATCCTTTTGTATGAGGGATACCACACCAAGGACATCCAATTTCATTTATTAAAAAGAGTTTTTTCGTTTCTTACTTTCCTTGATTCTACTATGCATAAAACACCTTTATATTTGCAAATGTTTAGTTTTATTCCCGTACATGGATATTTTGTGTGTGTCTTTTCTACAATTGTCTGCACGCCTCTCTGGAGTCTTAATAGATTTCCTCTTTTTCTTCTCTAGTGAACAGCGACTTATCGGCGGAGCTCCGTCTTGCCGGTGGTCAGCTGATGGCAGATGACCTGTCCTTGGTTACCGCTGGAGGGATGGGGGGCATGTCCTCTTCAGACCCCTCCCTGTCGTCCTTGTCACCTCCCATCAGTGACCCCTCCCTGCGCCTGTACCAGTGTGCCGTGTGCAATTGTTTCTCCTCGGACAGCCTGGAGGCCCTGAACGCTCACGTCAACGCAGAACGCTCTCTGCCTGAGGAGGAATGGCGCTGTGTCGTGGGCGATGTTTACCAGTGCAAACTCTGCAGTTACAACACCCAACTAAAGGCCAACTTCCAACTGCACTGCAAGACTGACAAGCACATGCAGAAGCACCAGCTGGTTGCCCACATCAAGGAGGGGGGCAAGGCCAACCAATGGAGATTAAAGTGTGTGGCCATTGGCAACCCTGTACACCTCAAGTGCAACGCCTGTGACTACTACAGCAACAGTGTGGATAAACTGCGACTTCACGCCACCAACCAGCGGCACGAGGCGGTCATTCGTCTGTACAAGGTAAGAACTTTTTACAGACATTACTAAAGAAATACATTGGTTATTTGTAGGAACATTGGTATATATTTTTTTTCACTAGATATTAGAACTTGATGGAGAAAGTGCTATTTGAAACAACATCCGGTATACATGTGTTTGAAAACAACATCCCGGTATATTTTACCCTGTTGATATATTGCACCTGTATTGTATGTAATTTTAAGTGATTATTTTCGAACACAGCAAACCCCCCCCGGGGGGGGGGGCGGTGGTGGGTGGGGTGGGGGGGCCCACCGCCAAGGATGGGGGGGTTTTATAAATATTATATAATTATATTTTTTTTATATCCAAATTCAACTAAAAAAAACATAAAAAAAAAAAAAACACAATTAAAAAGGCCACCCCCCCCCCCCACCCACCCACCTCTTAAATTGGGGGAAGGGGTGCGGGTGGGGTGGGTGCTATTTCATATTCATTTATTTACTTATGGGGGGGCCCCCCCCCAGGTGGGGCCCTGGGTGCCCGCAGTCCCATGGTTCTTCTGTGACCAACCGCTAACCACAGTGTACAAACCCTTCCACCAGATGACCATTTTAATGTATCAGGCTGAAAAATATCCCACTTTTTTTTTTATACTTGGTACATGAAAAGTAGAAGAGCAAAAAAAGCAGTTTCATAGGCGTACCAGAAGGGCAGGAAAAAAACGATCTATATATGACCAGAAAAAAACACCTCTTCCTTTTATGTTTTTGGGGCCAAAGGTGAAACACACATGGGAATGGAGGTAGCTTGGCCGGGTGCATTTTAGATCCGAGTGTTGACGACTTCACCATATGGTTTGGAAACACAGAATATCTTTTTGGCATTAAAAAATCATTTGAAGATATAAACAAAAAGCAATTTCAAGGAATTTATGAGAAGCTTGGTAGCGAGGGCCAATAAGAAGAACATTCAGAGGGAGTTTTGGGAACGGCCTTTTATTTTCCAGACTCAACTTCACCCACAAGGGAAATGACATTAACGAGCACAAGGGGCAATCCACTTCATATCCTGGTGACAGGGCGCAGCCGGTGGCACAGGGAAGTCTGGACCTGCACAAGGTAAAGGAGAACCATATGCCCAAAGATGCTTTCAGGACATGATATTAAAGCTACATTTTCCTCAAGAATGGTAGGTTTTGTTAATTTTTAACAAGGGGGGGGATACATGGACAGAGTCTTTATTTTTCTTAATTATATTCGTATACATTAGCGCTTTTAATAATAATTCCCTGCCAAGTAAGCTTGTCGTGAATGCCAATGGGACAAATGTTTAGGAACTTATTTTTTATAATTATCTGGGGTACAGGGGGCAAAAAATAAAAAATGGGGACCTATTTTGGTTTTTTCTTTTGGGGCGTTGAAGTTAGGGTAAATGGTGTTGTAGCATGCAAGGGGACCAATATGGCCTGAATAGTAGTTTTGATTTAGCTGCGGACTATTCGTGTGAAAGGGATTTCATACAATTTTCAATAACAAAACATTGGTCTAATAGATTGTAGAAGAGGAGTAAAATATCTGTCAGTTGGGCTCGTTGTGGGCGGGGCAGGCAGTTGGGGTCTCAGGACCATTTGTTGTAGTATGTTTATCATTGTTTTTTAGTTTTAGTGTCTTTCTACAGAGCAGTGAGGTACAGATTACTGCCCCTGGTTACATTAGGAGCTTGGAAAGTCCATGGTTCCACAGGCAGGCAGGACCCACACCACAATCAGACTACCAGGGACTCGCACCTGTTTCTAAATATCCCCACCCCCCATGGGGAATTCAAATTCTATAATTATTAATAAAATTTTTATTCCCCCCCCCAAAACACAAATATCTTAAAAATGGCTCAAACCATCACCGGCCCAAAAGTCTATGTCAATTTGAGCTTTCCTTTCATTATTACCCATAATTTTTTTTAGACAGATAGGATGTCCCGGGGTACAATGGAAATATTACTTATACTTAAAGTTCAATCAAACTAATTCATGATTGATAGCTATAATCTAGGGGGGGGGGGGGGGGGGGTGGGTGGGGGGGGGTGGGTGGGGGTTTTGGAATTTCTTGAGCAATCCGAGATTAAATCATTTTTATTATTAAAACAAAAAAAAATGGGGGGGTGGGGGGTGGGGAAAAAAAAAAAAAAAAGGGGGGTCCAAACAGATGTGTTTTTTCTACATCAGTCAGTTGGGTTTTTAATTTATTTAACCCCCTCTGGCCAAAGTGGGGGGGGGGGGGGGGGTTGGAGGGGGGGGGGGGGCAAGCGATTTAGGATGGGGGGGGGTTGGGACCCCCCCCAATAGGTGGGGGGAATAAGGGGGGCCAAGGGGTTTAATTAATTAATATCATGGGGGCAGGTTATGGGGTCCAAGTGTGGGGGACAACAAAAAAAAGGGGTGTGGGGGTGTGGGGGGGGGTGAGATTGGGGGGGGGGGGGGGTGGGGGGGTATAAAAAAATTGGATTTTATTTATTATTTTTTTATGGGGGGGGGGTGTGTTGGGGGGGGTTTATTTGGTTGGGGGGGGGATCTAGGAGGGAGAGGGGAGGGAGGAAGGAAAAAAAAAAACAAGGGGGCCCCCCCCCCCCCCCCCCCCCCCCCCCTTCAATTTTGTTAATTTTCCCATTTCCCCATAAACCATGCTGGCATTTTACCTTACATATATCCCCCTTCATCCTCTCAGGACAAGAGATGGCGGTTCATATGCATCGGCAATATTAAGTTCTTTAACGGGGTGGGGGCTATTGCAGGGTCAACCCAGCCCACTCATCATTTTGACAAAAACCAAAATGGCCTATATAATATAGCATGCCAAATTTATTGGACTGTCATTTCGGATTTGTGTGATGGGGAAATGGAAACAGGGGGGGGGGAGGGAAAAAAAACAATGGGGGAGGGGAGTGGTGGGGGGTGGTGTGGGCGGTGGGGGGGGGGTTGGGAACAAAAACATTTTGTTTAATTCTTATTTTTTTGTTATCTATATTTTTTTCTGGGGGGAGGGGGGGGGGGGTGGGGTGTGTGGGGGGGGGGGGGGGGTGGTGTGGGGGGGGGTGGGGGGGGGGGGGTGGTGGGGAGGGGGGGGAAATCCCCCCCCCCCCCCAAAAATGGTCCTGGAATAGAAAAGAGTCTAGATCTATTTCAAATGCATGGCACCACTTTTGACACGCACTCACTTAAACATATGCATTTAAAGGAAAGACATAGCACAGATGGATTGCTGCAATTTTGTTTACAGTAGTACTTGGAAACAATGGCAGTGTGTTTTATAAAGTTGCCATTTTCCACTTTGGACCGTGTCCTCTTGTTCTTGACACTCTCTTGATCAGCGTGTCCTTGTCTCACACTCGCATGCTGTCTTAAAGAGTTGCTCCTCTCTTCAAACAGGAATGTTCAGACACTTCACGCCCGATGCTACTTGACTGCGAGATATAGATTTTCATGTTCTGTCTTGGAGTCAAGCTGATGTAGTCTCCTGACGTATGTACAGCTGAACAGAGGAGTGGATTCAGCTGTGTTTTTGCCAAAGAGCCTGCCTGCCTGTCTGTCTGTCTTCCTGTATTCCCTTCCACCTCTGCGTACCTCCCCTTTCCTGCTCGCTGTGGCGCATAGAGGCAGAGAGACGCCGGTTAGTAGATTATTCAAATGGTTTCGTCTTTCACCTGCGCACAGATTACAATGGAAATCTTTCAGAGGACCGTGGGTGATGAAGTAGGCAGTGGAGGGTGGTGGCTAATTAAAGCATAAAAGCAGGTGTGTGCTTGTGTGCGCTTGTTGCTTTTTTGTGTTTGTCAGGAGAGGTTTTCAATAGGCAGACTTCCTAAAACCTCCCCCAATAATCCCCAGATATTAATAAGACTTTCACCCACTCTCCCCGCTAAAGCCTTAAGCAGATGGTCAGTGTGCAATTAGTGTGTGTGTTCTGTGTCCAGCTTTGGTCACATTTATAGTACTTTTTAATTACCTCCAAACCTTTCTTTTTAGTTCTAAATAATGCCTATCTACTGCAGGTAGTCCTCATCACACAAGGCACAAATCATCACACAAAAACACCAAAATCACACAGGTAATTCTATCCAATGTAGAGGTATTATGTACGTTATTAATATATATGAAAGGCTGAGGTAGCTTAACCCTTGTATTATGTTGAAAAAAAATGACATTGATTATGTTGCGGGTCACTTTGACCCGTACTGTGTAAATGCACTCAAAACAGTCAAGAAAACAGGTTAAACCAAAAACAACTTTTTTTAGGTTATATAAATATTTAGAAAAGTGACATACAATACATTTTTAATTCCAACAATATATTTAAGAAATCTTTAGTCTAATCTTCTTGTCCTCCTCTCGGGTCAAAATGACAATTCTTCCCTCCTTCTTTCCTCCTGCCATGCTTTCTCCTTCAGTCTTCTCATCCTGTTTTCCTTCTCTCTGTTCATCCTCCTCTATTCCCTTCTTTCCTTCCTACCTTCCTTCCTTCCTCTTTCCTTGACCAAAGATTCGTCCTCTGAATCCTCCTTATCGTAGAAACATTGACAATCTGGATCAGCAATAACATTGTCCTCTGTATCTGAAAAATCATCTGTTTCTGAAATCTCTTCCTACATCATTATCCCAGTTAAAAATCTGTGATAAAGCCTCCTCAGATGTCATCCTTCTGGAGCTCATTTTTGGTGAGTTTGTCTAAAGCCTAGCGTACATCGACAGAGTAACTGGAGACAACTAGTTGCAAGGCGGCTTTTGGCAACTGAGAGTAGATGATGGAGATGATCAGTTGCCGAAATCGGTCGATGTGAGCGCTCTTACAACTGGAGATTAACAGTCGATCTCCGGATTCAGTCAGTTGCCCGTGTTATACTTTTCGGCAACTAGTTCAGATCCGGAGATATCACCTGATGTGCGCGCTCCAACAACATGTGTGTATTGCGCCCTCTACAGTTTATGTCAGAAAACACACTGTAGTTGAGGCCAGTTGCTGTCGGTGTATGCGCTGTTATTCCAGAGA